CAGCACTTAATCCTTGTGCCACCAGCATCCCTGATGCCCCCTCAGATGCAGCACAGGGCATCTGTATCCTGGTGTCTCCCCCCGAGCTGATCCTGTGCCCCAGCTGCTCCCAAAAGCTCCTTTTGGTTCAGGGCTGAGAGCGTGGCCACCCTTCCCCTAGAAAGCACCAGACACTGAAATGTAATATTGAGTAAATCTTCAGATTGCTGTAATTCTTGCTAAAAGTTGAGGCAGGGAGGGTTTTTGTGATGTGTTGAAAAACTTTGGATAGCTTTCAAAATATTTGCTCGCTCTCGGTTTCGGCTGAGCCCAGATGGGGCTTCTTGCCCTGTTTTGCAGACTCCTGAAGTTCCAGCCCTGTTTAGTGTGCTTGCCAGACTTCTAGGAGAGCTCTCTGAGCTGCAGTAAACCTTTGAACCTCTTGAGGTTCCTCATCACAACCAAGTTCTAATAAAAAAGTTTCTTCAAGCGAAGGTGAAGGGGTGAGGTGACCAGAAGGAATCGTGTCAGCGTTTCCAGTGTAAAATCCCTTCTGTCTGAGCTTTAGGAAAATCAACTGTTAAAAAAAAAAAAAAAAAAAGATCACTCCAGGCTGAAATTTGGCAAACAAGATTTCAGACCTCAAACTGGAACAGTATCATTTGTGGGTTTTGGTATTTATTTTTCACTCAATGGCTTAAGGAAACACATTTGCTTCATGAGTATTTTCTGCTTCCCACTCCCTTCCTTGGCAAGCCTTGCCTGGGATCTGAGAGTGAAGGTGGGTTCTTCCTTCTTCTGCATCGTTCACAGCCCTAAAGATTCAGAGCCAAAGCTCAGCTGATGATAATAACAAAAATTCAGCTTCCTGAACACATCTGTAGTGAGTGGCCATTGCTGGAATCCTTGTGGTCTTGTTCATATCTTGTCCATATCAATAGGAGGTCTGAAAATGCATATAAAGTGTGATATAGGGGATTAATACATTGAGGCACTGTTTTCTGTGTCATTATTTGGGAATATTCTGCCCTCTCAAACCCTGTTTTTCTGTGTATTGTGACTAAATTGGTGTGAAGTATGTTCGAAAAGAGTGGGATGTTCCAGCCAGACAATCCTGAAAATCAGTTCTGGATTGGAATTCTCTCCTTGTTCTTGGAGAAATTAAATAACAAATTTGGAATTACACCAAAGTGAAGTGGGGAAAGCAGGTTTGGGAATTCTTCTCTCGGCTGAAGGGAACAAGCAGTAAAACAAATGATGCTGCTGCATAACTTCCTTGTCCAGAGTAAAGGTTACACCTTGATCTCAGGGTGTCCTCTGAGGGCAGTGGCATGGGCTGGTGCCTGCATCTGTCTGGGGAGAGCTGCTCCAATGACAATGAAAATAAGCATCCAAGGAAATTGTCTTCACGTTTCCTTCAGCATTTCGGGAATCAGAGGGTTACACCAAATAACCAGACAGGATTTTTTTAATTACACTGCTGCTTTCAAGTAAGCCTGGCTGGGCTGGGACTGAGATTTCCTTCTGTCCACAGAAGTGGGAAATCATTTCTGGGATTCTGAAAAAGCAAGAGGCCTAAAAGGGTTCCCAGGCAAGAGGCTGATGCAGGAGCACCTGCTCTGCTCTTCTCCCTGTCCTACCATTCCACAGGAACTTCCATGCCATCGATACATATTGTGATTGAACATTGCCATTAGATCACTGATCTACCCTAATTACCTAATTAGGTATGATTGTGCTAATTGGGTAAGGCCATAATTGGCAAAAATCACCGGAAAACAAACATGGAGCTTCGTGCCACCAAAGGGAAGTGTCTCACCAGACACTGGGACTGTGCCCTGCTCTGCTCCCAGGAGGGTGTTTGCTGTGGACACAGGGAGTTACCACAGGCCCAGGCACTGAGAAATGACATGAAGGCACGGAAGGAATGGCAGTCAGAAACTTCTTTTTTCCTATTTGATCTCAGTTCTTAAACTCAACACTTCAGTAACAGCAGCAGATACTCTGACTGAAGGGTGCGTGACACTTTTTGCTGCTTGAAGTTCCAGTTCCTCTGGGATGCAAAGACATTTTCAGGTGTCCAAGCTTGGGGACAAAATGCTGAAGCCAGGGGGAATAAAGGGGGAAGATTTGCCAGGATAATCACAGAATCAACTAAGCTGGAAAAGACCTCTGAGATCATGGAGTCCAAATGTGTGCAGCAGGATGGGGAGGTGTCTAAAAGTTGACCAGAGGGTGAGTTAGGGGTTGGGATAGAAACTGCTTTGGTGGATAGAAAGTACTTTGAGTCCATCCAGGTCCCTTATTTGTGCTGGGTGGCGTTGGCACGTGTGGGAACTCGGAGGAGAAGTGTTGTCCAAGCAACAATTCCCTGGCACCTGGAGCAGGGCTCAGGGCTGGGGCAGGACTCGTGTGCCAGGCAGGGCACAGCTCCCCTGCTCAATACAGAGCTGGGGGAGGGAGGGAGAAGGCTCCTTGAGGGGGTGCCAGCTCAGAGCTCACAGCTCAGGGGTTGGGGAATGTGCTGAGGAAGAGATGGAAGAGCAGCAAGTCATGGACAAAACAGCCACAGTGGCCTTTGCCAGCCTGAGAAGAATTCAGGTTATTTAGGTGCAAGTTGAGAGTAAAGGAATTTTTTCAAAGGGAATTTATTATTGTAGTCTGTGTATGAAAAGACCTTTGCTGAACTGAGGGTACAAAACTCTTTACCTTCTGTTTTGGAGCAAATTATGGGACAAGCTTTCTTGCTCAGCTCTGCTTAGAAATACCTGGTCTGCAAGGTGTGCTAATCTCAATGCAGTGGTGATGTTAAGAGCACCTTCCTCATCTATAGCTGATCAATTTATATATCTATATGCAAATTGTCTAAATATATATAATTTAAATAATATTATATAAATAGAAAGGTGGTGTTAGGCCATGGGTTGGACTTGATGATCTCAGAGGTCTTTTCCAACCTAATTGATTCTGTGATATAATATTACATCAATTTATATTTATATTATATAATAATATATATGTATAATATATATTATATTATACATTATATATATAATATATTATATAATTATACAATATATTATATATTATATACATAATATATATTATATATTATATATTATATAATTATACAATATATGTATTATATATAATTATATATAAGTCCATCTGAATATATCTATACATCTCTATCTGATCAGTTTAATCAATAATTTTACAATGCTTTGAATGATGTAATGTTAGCTATTACAAGACTGAGGTGCAGAAAAACACTTGCAAGGATAAGTTGTGGAAAATGTGAGGGGATTAGCCATGTGATGCTGAAAGGGTTCAGTTTATAGCTGCAAAATGTGAAAGAGGATGGTTTTTAAAGTCTAAAGTGGAGTTTGTCTGCTATGTCACATAGGGATTGGTGGGATTTGGGATCCTCCATCACCCCAAGTGAGCACACAGGTTCCATAGAGGTGCTTTAGTTGCATCATTGGATCTCATGTCAGAGAACAAATGTTCAGTGCACAAAAATGATGGTGTTGCATCAAGGATTTGGATGGTTTTAGACAACAGAAAAGCTCCTGGTCAGAGTACAGGGCCAGAGAGCCGTGGTTTCCTTATCCAGGGTTGTGCTTGGATCACTGTTCTGACTAATAAAATAGTTCACAGTGACTCTGCTGTTAACTAAAATAATATGTTGTATTTCCACTATTAGGTCAAAGTAAACTTTACCAAGTATGGAGTCATTAGAAATTTGGATCCTGTCAACATCATGGACATTTAAACCTTGCAGAAAGATTGTTTTGTGGTTTTTTCCCCAAATATCCTTCTGCTGTTGCAAGCTGAACTCTGTTTCTGTTCAGTCCTGGAATGTAAAGGTGCCTTTTTCACAAGCAGCAGTGCTCCTTTATCCTGAGAAAACAGGACCAACCAAGCCCACGTGCACTGAGCAGAGCTCAGCACCCTTTCCTGGGCTTTGATTCCCGTGGAATCCCCTTCCAGCCCAGAGCTGCTGTGCCTGAGGGTGCCCTCACCTGAGAGGCAGCATCTCAGCACTCAGCCAGTTCCAGCAGCATATTTTAGGATGCTAATCCCTGTTTGTGAGCCTTTTAATCCCTGTTTGTGAGCCATAATAAAAAGGCAGCACAGGGCTTTAAGTAGCACCTTGGTGGGTGCTGGGAGTGAGTCACAAGGATAACATCCTGCTTGTTTGACTGTGCACTAATGCAAGTTAAAAACATGTTCCTTGCTGAGGGAACACTGTCTGGCTGCTGGCAGAGGCCCGGGGTTGCGTTTTCTAAAATGGTTAATTTTAACAAGGGTAAAATTCGCTGTAAACTTTCTGCCCCCTTTTGCAGTTCTTCTCCTAATCCCACTCCTGCAATCGTCCTTTAAACATCCGGGAGCCCGGGCGCCTGTTCCAAGGTCAACGTTATGTGTGTTCAAAAAGGAAGAGACATGTCAGGACAGATTTCATCCTGAGCCTTCTTAAGTGCTTTAAAAAAAAAAAAAAAACCACCAAAAAATAAATGTATGTATATGTTCTGTGCTGTAGTGCAGATGCATCTGCTGCGGAAGGGGGGGAAAACTACTTTTTTTTTTTTGTCCAGGGACAAAATTCCTTCTTGTGTGAAAATTGATCTGTACCTAGCAGGAATAACCCTGCCTTGCTGTGTCTTATCTAATCACACACGTAGGGGAGCTGCTGTTTGTCCAAACAAAGCATATTTTTTTCACTTCTAAATCAGCACGCCAAGAATCCGGAGGCCTTTTTTTTTTTTTTTTTTTTTTTTATTTTTTTTTTATTTAAGTGGAAACCCCTGGCACAATGTGTCTGCCGTGGAGTGGTGGGTAGAATTCAGCATTTTTGACTGCATGCATCCAGGTTGAGGTAGTAGGTTGTATAGTTTAGAATTACACCAAGGGAGATAACTGTACAACCTCCTAGCTTTCCTTGGGTCTTGCACACAACGGCGTGAGGAGCGACTGTAATTCCTCAGCTCTGGACATGTGGAACAGCAAAGAGCAGGTAAGACGAGCTGGAAACTCCTTTTATTTTCTTCTGCCTCTCTAGAACTCCAGAAATGTTGGTTCTCTCGGCGTTTTTTCACTTGTTGGTGCAGCGTTATTGAGTTTTTAGCAAATCCAGCAGACCAGTAGTGCTTGTGTGACTTTATTAGCCTTCCAGCTAATGTGTAACATCCCCAAAAACATATCAGTGTTATTGCCTCCATGGTCAGCAGTCAGGAATCTCCAAAGGTAAAAACATCCTGTGTTGTATCTGTTCCCTTTCCATTAGTCTCTGGCTCAGTGAATTCCACAGTGGGAGTTAAACCCGATGGTGCTGATGCTTCTGGATAAAGGGGTTTTGTGAAAGTACCTAAATCTCCCCAGCCCTCAGGAGAGCTGTTCTTAGGGATACCCACAAGTGATTACACTCAGCTAAAATGGTGATTCCTGAGGGTTTTTCCCTAGGTTTGTACAGTTATATTGGGGGTTTCAAAGGTTGATGCTTCTGGGTGCCTCCAATAGAGCTGGTTTCGTTCTCCCTCCCAGAAGGTCGGGTTCAGGAGCTGTGGGACAAAAGACCCCCCTGTCTAAAATGCAGGGAATATACCAGCTGTGCCTAAATGCTGTTGAAATCTATGTGTTTATTTGCCTTAATATTTGTGACCTAAAAAACCCTCCAGAACTCTGGGGTTTTATCTCATGAAGTTGGAACACAAAAGTGAACATCTTAATGTTGGGAGTGTTCCGGGTTCAGGTCCCTTGGCAGCCTGAAAGTGGTGACCAGAAGACCTGATCAGGGTCCAGAACCTGAACCTTAGATCTTTTGACTCTGTATATGACTAATTCTGGCAAGAGTTTTCGAGTTCCCAGAAATAAGAGGCACTGTCTGCCTGTGGGTAAACTTTCTAAGCTAGTGAATAAAAGTAAAGAGTTGTCACTGGCTTAATTTCATTAGGCTAACCTAAAAGTGTGAACATGATAATGATATTTCAAGGTATCTAAGTAACCCAGAAAAACCTTGTGGGTTTTTTTTTTTCCTGGTAAAATGGCACTTAAAAACTTGAATATCTGCAGATCCTTGGTTACTGAATGCAAAGAGAAGCTGGAGGGTTCTCGAGCATTACACAGGGCTCACTTCTTATCCAAAAAGTGGATTACTGGGGTTTTATTTCGTCTTGTTTTCAAAGAGGTTATAGATGTCACTGCCATGGTTTATAACTCTGCAGTTCCTTAGGACAAGGAAAGTTTCTGGGCTAACACAACCCTGCTTCTGTGTTTCATGCATTAAGGACAGGCAGGTAGTTAAAAACAAGGAATCTTTTTGGCATGTTTTAGGCAGTACCTTATTTCCTCCCCCCCCATAAATCTTTTTGCAGATGGAAGTGTGCAAATTTTCAGCTGTAAATCCACGAGCTGCATTGACTCCCATCCAGAGCAGAGCTGTTCCATAAGGGTTGGTTTTGTTACCCTGTTTGGTGCTTCTCTGGGAGCACCTTTACGAAGGACTGGTAATAATCCCAAATAAGAACAGTCTCTTCTTGTTTTGGTGGGAGCATTTTAGATTTGCTTTGCACAACTATAAGCTTCAAAAATAGTGCTGGTTTGTCCTAATGCAGTTTGTGGCCATTAAACATAACTTCATGCTAAGTATGTAGATGGTATGATATGTAAATTAAATGATCTATCTTGCCCCAAAGAACAATAATTAAAGAGGAGAATGGTCAGTGGGAAACATAATTCAATGTGCATATTTTTCTTCTGAACAAAATAGCATTCCAGCTCTCCCCCTGATGAGAGGAATGTATTGTCAATTAATTAGACTCCCATCATATGTCCTCGGATGCCCTTCTATCATATGCCTTCCATATGTCCTTATGTCATATGCCTTCCATATGCCCTCTGTGTAATTAAGCTCCTATCATATGGCTTCTATCATATGCCATTTAAGTGGATTTCCAGGAGAATGTGGCAGTGTTACAGTTATGGACCTTTTGCAACGAGGAAAGGAACAACTCATGAGCTGTAAATTGGAAGAGGAGGAAGCAAAAGGAAGGTGGCTCGCCCTGAACAGTGTCTTTAATTGCCAGTTTTGTTTCTCTCAGCTCGAGCGGTGAATGGGAAAAAGTGTCCTGTTTTCCTCCTTTTCCATTTCTGTGCCATGCCCAGCTTTTATCCAGTTGAGCCTGTGAATAGCCAGAGAGATAGCGACTGTTTTTCAGGGAACATTTCCACTGGAACGTGAAATGCAAAAGAAACAATCCCCCTCCCAGAAAAGTGTTTGTCCTGCGATAGCAAAATGTGTAAACTTGGGTCTTGTTTCTGTCCCTTCACATGAAGTGGAGTTTAAGAGCAGCGTGGAGAGGGAATTAATGAGAAGGGGATGGTACAATTCCCTTCAGCACACATCCCTGTTCTCCCTCATGGACCAGGGGTGTGGAGAGCACTGTGCTTTTCTTGGCATAGGAATTGCTTGGGAGATGGGGTTCTGATGTACAGGCAGAGGCAGTGAGATGGAGTCCAAATTTACTGTGACTTATTAAGGATAAAGACAAAAACCAGGCACTGATGTTTATATACATAATGAAGAAAACTGGAGACATCCAAGGAATGATGAGATCTTGGAGTGGTTTCCAAGGCAAGGGCAGATAATGTGCTCGATTGCCTTATGAACAGTTGTGTGTCTGTGCATCCTCTCATCCCAACAACTGCTGAGACTCTTTTCTAATCCCAGTCAGATTTGGTGGAAGAGCTGTGACTTCCAAGACTGTTCTGCTCCATCCAGCTTTACAGGAACTCCAGAAATCCCAGCAGTCAGGAAGGAGGTTGAAAGGACAAGGAGAAGGTAAAACAGTCACATGTGCTGAGGTCTCCAAACCATAAAATGCAGAGCAGTTTGTAGCATATCCCAGTTTACCTGGATGGAATGAGAACAGTTCGGATTCCCCCTGGCTGGTAACCAGTTTGTCCCTAAAGATTTTATATTCCAGCTGTTAGAGAAGTCTAAACCCCACAGCATCATGATTTCACTGCTATTCTGATGTGCTCTGCCTGGATTCAGTCAGTATTGACCAAAAAAAGGTCCTATATTGGCTGTGCAGGCATTGTGCTACCCACTGTTTGGGATGGAGGTGCATTCCTGAGGGACAGCTGACAGGTCTTACTTTAATTTTCAGCTTTCATTTTCAACTCAATCCTCATTTAAATCACACACACACACACAAAATACAGCCAGTCCATCTGAAAGCTCTGTGTCATTAGGGAAATTATTCGGGAAAAATTCATGTTGTGGTCCTGCCCCATCATTAGTTTGCTGGTGCCACAGTTGTAAACTGCAAATTAAGGGAAGCCTTTAAGCCTCTTGTAGTGTACCACTGAAATTATCTGCCAGGAATTATTACCAAAGTGCTCTATTCCAAAATACTTTGGTTTACTGGGCAGCAAGAAAACACTTGCAATGGTGCCCATGGCAGATTTTCTTCTGCTTCTGTGTTTTCACATGATTGTGATACTTGTGGAAGATGAAACTTTCACTGTTAGAGGCATTTTTTATTGTATTTTTTTTTGTGTTTTTTTTTTTTAAAACAGTGTCTTCCATCTATTTCCACACCCAGCTGAAACTATGCTGCAACACTTCAAAATCAGATGCTTGAAGTACAGTCGAATTTGTACATAAAAGTTTTGTAAGAACTGGGATGGAATAGAGTGGAATGCCAGAATGACTCATTGTTTAATGAATAAGGCCCTAAGTGTTCTATTGATGCCATTTATAAATCTCTATAAAATGTATAGAATTCATGTCATAACTGGAATTCCAAGCACAGCAACCTTGTGAGCTAAATTGTGATGATGATGGGGTACTGCACAAATTAATATGGATTCTAACACGCTTCTGCTTGAAAGCTGCTCAGACAGTTAAAAATAAGACAATTTCATTACACAGATTCAAAGCCCCGAGCTCAGAAATGCTGCTTTTGGAAATTCCTGAGGAAGGAGGATGTTTCTGTGTGTGTGAGGGTTAAAAAGCATAACCTGTAAGGGAAGCAGATGTCCTTCCAATGAGGTGGAGGTATCGATTGCAATGCACAGTGCAATTGGAAAATAAAAGTATTAGCTGGTATAGGGCAGCTCAATATTTGGAACTCTTCTGTTGGAAATGAGCAGTGTGAGGCTGGAGCAGAGATCTGATCACACATCCCTCTTTTTGACTTTTTTGTTCCTGCTTTTCCCTTCTCAGAGCTCAGCAGTTCAGATGTGAAAGCAGGTGAAGTTCAGCATTTCCAGTGGGAGTTTTTGAGCCAAGTTCTGTATCCCCTCAGAGTTCAGCCAGAGACAAACTCATATAATGTGTGGGGTTGGACTAGCAGGATTTAACCTGGTGAGAAAAGCTTCCAGTCTAAACTGGAACAGAAAGGAAATCTGATGCTTGGAAATTTCCCATAGCAGAGGAAGATCCAAAATGCTTTATTTGGGAACAATCCCCCCCTTCCTTTTTATTTTTTTCTTTTGTTCTGTAAAGAATACAAAACTTTTGGTTGCCCTGACTCTGGTGCTCCAGGCAGTTCCACTTGCATAGATTTAATTTATATATTCAAAATATAAAATGTATTCTCCCCCAGCAAATAATCTGTACAGGCTATAGGGTGAAATTAGCCTCTTTGTGCAATGTCATGGCCCTGTTTCTTGGTTAAATAAGTTCGAGAATCAGGTTTCTGGGGCAGATATGGAAAGAAATTGAAATTCTTCTGTGTTTTATGCAGTGGCTCCTCCTTCCCACCACCTGCACTCGAGACCCCTTGGAAGAGCCCTGTTGAGGAGCAGTGTGGGTGTAGCTAATACTGAGTCTGTAATTTCTGTTTTCCACCTGTGTTCTTACAGAATCATAGAGTGGTTTGGCTTGGAAGGGACCTCAAAGATCATCTGGAAGGTTCCCATGTCAGGGCAGCCTCATGTTGGGGTTTGGGGCTCTCTGTTGGGTCAGTGAGGAGAGATTTGCATCAGCTTTGACTCACCCTGCTGCCACTTCTCCTTCCTGGTGATTTCCCTCATCTCGTCCCTGTTCCAGGTGTGACACACAGATTTCATTCTGGCTCTCATGATGTATTAACCAAATGTCAGGCTGGAGTAATTTATAATTAACAGTGATGCATTAATGTCGTGCCCAGCGATTGCAGTGTGAGAGTATTTTTGTGAATGGGGCATTTTTTTTTTTAATTCTTGCAACTGTTGATGTCCAGAATAGCCACAACCAGGCAGGCAAACGGTCAGGAAAGACAGATTTATTCTTTTTTGTTTTGTTTACTCATTGACTTCTTGATGGGTGAGTGGACCTTGTTATTCCTAGATGGAGTGGAGATATAACTCAAGCCATGAATGCAAGTTTTTATGAACATTTAAGGTCTTGCTCCTGTTATAAAATTGGAGTGGATAAACCCCTGCTCAACACTAATGTGAAAATCCTCTGAGCACTGTCTATATTTTTTTGGGCCCAAAGACAGAGCACAGCAGCTGTTCTACCCAATCTGAGAAGACAAAGAGTGGCTCAAAAAAGTGCCAGCAAAAAGGGTCCAAAGCAGGGAGAAATCTGAAACTGCTACAGGGAAATGTTCCCATTAGAAAGGAAAACCAAATGGATGTTAAAATGAAAGGGAAGACTGAGGATCTCATAGTTCCACAAAGTGAGTGCAAGGAGACGTGTAGTGAAATTAAATGGTGACAAATTGAAAATGTTTCATAAAGCAATTCTTTCCCACCAGTATTTAATTAGGAAAGGAGCCTAATTGCTTTTAGAAGTTAATGGGAAGTTTGCAAGCCTAGAACAGATTAGATACTTGTGTTTTTAATAACCATCCATAGAATTATGGTAATTCATTATGCAAACTTCAGAATGGAGTTCAGAGTTTGTGTTTCAAGGTTTAGGATGAGGTGCAGCACTTCAAGCCCAGGGAAGAACCAGTGGGAAGGACAGCTCTGGCCTGTCCCAAGCTGCTAATACTTGTCACTATTAGAGGAGGTATGTTGGAGAAGGCTGGATTCTGGCCCAGTCTATATATGTCCCCTGCACAGGATTAAGCACATAGTTTGCCACTGGCAAAGAAAAGGGAAGGGTTGATAGATGTTTGTCCTTCACTTGGGTTCATATATTGAAAAACTGCAATACTGCAGTGTTAATAATAGTTATTCAAAAGCATGGAGCACTGAATAACTCCTTTGCAGTGGGAAAGGATTGAGTGTCCCCTGGCCAGAAAGGAAAGCAGAGGAAGGTGAGTGAATTACCCCAGTGTGTTATTGGAGGGCTGGGTACAAAAGCCAGGTCAGTTGGATTGAGGGCTGCATCTAAACATATGCTGTGACCTTTTCCCTCCCCATTTCTTGGAACCCTGGTATTGCCAGGAGTAATAAAAGTCCCAGAAGCAGTGAGGGGGTCACACCTGGCTCTGCCTTCACACCCACTGTCCAGTGTGAGGTCAGAGCTGATCTTCACTCCCAGATGATCCTGGCTGGAGATCTGTGCTTGGTGCTGGATTTGGGGTCACTGCAGCCCCTGCAGAGTGTAGGCAGGCCCTTTGTATTCCTTGGCTTAAGTGAGATTTAAGGAATTGCTGTAAACAGCAGGTCAAACCCATTCTGGGATTAATGGCGCTGGGGTGGGTTTATTGAAAAGTTTGTTTTTCTTGTGTTTGAAGTGGCCTCTCATCTCCTCTGACAACAAATAGCAGTTGTGGCATCAGAGAGTGGTTTGCAACAGTGGTGTTTGCAGCCTGTCAGCTGCCACAGCTTCCCCTTGGCTTCCCATTTCCTTTCGTGAAGGAGGTTGTTGGATTTGGAGGATGGGATTTTAAAAAAAGAAAGAGGAAGAGAAGGAAAAACAGGGAAGGAAATGGGAAGGGAAGAAGGCAAGACTCGATTGCTCTCTGCTACTGATCTTGTGGTTTGAGTTGATTTGAGAAAGTGCCCTTCCAATGGCTTTTGAAATGTGAAAGAAGAACTTATTTTATAAGAGCCCTAAGACAGTTCAGTCACGTGCTTCCCCTCATTTGAATGTGGGAATAATTAGTGAATGAGAAGTTAAACTAGAGGAGGTGTTAGTGGACAAAATACAATCAGTGTCCACTACTTCCTGTGTTGGTAATGATGTAGTTACACTGTGAATCAGGTCTGTGTGTAGGTTTTAGGATGGAAGTTACTGATCAGCAATATTGTATTTATTTTTAGGAATGTATAATATAATAATGTATCATTTATGGTGTATGATATTATAAATATATTTATAATTCCCTGTTTATTTTGATATTTAGTTTACTACAGCATCTAATAAATCCACAAGGGCCCTCTACCCAACCTGTGCCAGGGCCTCCCCACCCTCCCAGGGGAGAATTTCTTCCCAATATCCCATCTAAACCTCCCCTCTGTCCATTGGAAGCCCTTGCTGGAGTAACAACAAGGACAGAACGAGTCTCTCCTTTCCCTGGGTGTCCGAGGGAGGTTTAGAAGCTCCAAGAAAGATGGAATTCACTGGGGAAGCTCCAAGTTTGTAAAGCAGCTCCCTCGCTGCCTGGTGCCACATTGCATCACATCTGAACGAGGGGTTTGCATTATATATTAGCCCAGATCTGTCCTCAGATACCCTGCTCTGCAGAAGACCACTTTTAAATCTTTAATAGGGCATTAGAGCAATTTGCCTGTGATTTGGTTTTAAGTGGGCAAGGAGAGTGGTGACAAACGAAGCAGGGAGGCCCTCGAATTCTTTGAATATTCCATGTTTTCCTGGAACTGTTGGGAAAAGGCTGCCAGAAAGGTCTTGGCAGGTTTTCTAGGTGGCTGGCCAAGTCTGAAGCAAACGTGGATAGTTAACAGGCTAATGCAGCTCTGGTTCTGAGTTCATACGTATATAACATACGTTTTTATTTAAGAAATCCCACCACATGGAGGAGCAAATGTAGTGCTAATATATCTTCCTGAAAGAAAAGAGCGAGGGGGAAAAACACTGTCATCTCATAACAATAAAATGAAGGATCTTTTGCCCTTGCTTTTTAGGGACTTGGGTTGTCAGTTGAAGGAGAGAAGTCGTAGGAAATGAAACCAGGAGACAGGCAGTGGCTTTCCCACGAGGGCCCCACGTTAATCAGGAATGGCTTATGGAGCAATAGTTGGTGTCTGAGGAAAGAGGCAGAAGTTGTTGAAGGAATGGATTTCCGTTGCTAGATTGGCTTTTTGTTGTTGCCACGCAAGTAATTAAAAATGGCAATTAAGCAGGAAAGTGATCGAATGGTCACTGGGGACCTGCTGCTGCACTTGGGTCCACATGGACAATCCGTTGGAGAGGGAAGCAGGAGACCACCTGTGTGGGTCAGATAATGAGAATTAGGGGCTGTTACTGAACCATCCCAGGTGTGGATTATGTTGGGAAGGGTTTCTCTGGGCACCAGGGTTGGGATCATGGTTCTGTTTGGTCCCAGGGAATTGGTGTTTACTCTGGTGGCTGGTGGAAGTTGTTCCTGGGAAACACGAGGTGGGATTTCTTAGAGACACCAGGTGAATTAGCTTTGCCATTTTAATATTGTCTCCACTGCCAGGGATTCTGGTTTGTGTACAGCTCCTGGGGCTTGTCCTGTTTTATTATTAATGGGGCAAAGCCTCTACCCTTAGAGTGAAACAATTTATTTTTCTTTATTAAAACATCGGTGCAGACCCTGAAGTTGTGCCCTGGACTCCCTGTGGGGTCTTGGATGAGTCATTTATTTTTCTTTGGTTTTATTCCCTGCCTACAAAATAGAGGTCCTTGTTCCTCAGAAGGAGTGTTGTAAAGACAGAGGAGCTGGTCTTGTGTGAGTTGTTCAGGGACAGTCATGTTGGAATTGCAAGTGAAGAAATCTCTGTGAAGAAATATTTCTGATGGACTGCCTTTGTGCTGACAGCCATTCATTGGTTCTACAGAGTTAAAACTGGCAATGTCTGTAATCTGACAGTATTTTTGTAAATAAAATCATCTTGAAAAGGTTTTTATTACACTTGAGAAATCCTAATTAATGTTATTTATTATCATAGCAAGTTAGGTAACCTGTTAGTGTTTTATATGATCACAGTAAGTTAAGTAACCTGTTAATGTTATTTATTATCACAGTAAGTAGGATATTCAGTTTTTTCTGTTTGTTTTCACCATTTTCTGTCTCATTAAAGTGTTCTGCTGTCCTTTTGCATTATAGAAACCAGCAGCTCTGGGTGTAGGGTGCAGCAGAGCCTGCAGTGCAGCGTGAAGTGATGCAGAAGTGTGGATGGCACCGGGAGCTGCTGCGCCTGCTCCTGCTGCTATTCCTGGCACGCAGGGACTGAGCAGCGTCTGATGGGCCAAATGTGAGTCCTCGGAGGCTGCTGTGTCTTCCTCGCCTCCTGACACTCATTCTGTCTGTCACATCCCCCTGGATGCCTGGCTCTGTGCTGTTTAGTCTGCTCTCAGCACCCGTGGAGCAGCTGAGCAGGAGCTGCTGTGACGGGCTCGGGTCGAGGTGCCCAGGCCTGTTATTGCTTTGACAGCAACACCTAAATAAATGTCTTGGCATCCTGGAGTCACCCTGCGAGGAGAGACTCCCTGTCCTCAGTCTGAGTGCATCAGGCAGGCAGGAGAGGGAGCAGGGATGGAGAGGTTTGCCCAAGCCAGGGAGCACGTGGAGCGGCGGGGCTGGAACAGGGGCAGGGCTGTTGGATCCTCCCCACTGTCAGCACGGCTGATCTGGGATTCCTCTGCCTGCTGCTGAGCCAGCTCCTGCCTCTCCCTGGGCAGGGAACAGTGCCTTGCACCCACCAACCAGCTGGAGGGAATATTTCGGTGTCCCACCTTTGCAGTGCCTAAGACATGTATTTATTTAATGCGAGAAATAAACCTTCACGTGTTAATTTATTTATTTTTTTTTAAATTGTGTCAGCTGTAGTACTAGAAAACCAAGGAAACGTATCTTTGTTTTATCTTTTAAATAATTCCACCCTCTCTTTAAAAAGAAATAAGTGCTGGTGAGAAGGGTGAAGTCTGACAAGAGGTCAGGGGATGTTTAGGAATTACTGTGCTTTGAGGTTCTTCAGGTCCCTGTAGTCTCTCAGGGCTCTTTACAAACATTAATTAAGGCTCAGAGGCCCAACTCCTTTCTTAGGTGCCATAGTTATGTTATCAATTTGTGTTGGTTTTTCTGTAGGGAAGAACTGAAAATAGTCCACAGTGAATTCCTGGAGGAGATGGGAAAAGATCTGTGGACTGCAGGCCCCCAATCTGTGATTTACAGTCTCTCCTTTACAGGTGACCCCAGCACTCCTTTCCTATCAAAATACAGCTCATTCTAGTGCTGCTTTTAGTCTCATGGATATCTAACTTTAATTTAATTTTCTACTTTTCCTGCCAGCTCAGATTCCCAAAATGTCCCCAACCTTTCTGCGTGTTTCTGAAGTTGAATTTGGGTTCAGCAGTTTGGGCTCTAATTGAACATCCTCAACAGGTATTATTTTCACTGGCTTTTTCAGAAAAAAAAAGAAAGAGTTCATTGAGAGACACCATATTTTTCGTGCAACGATTCTATTGATATTCCAAGTGAAGTTTAAAAAAAACCATTAAATGTTGACCAGACAGGTTTTCTTTGTAGCAGCCTTTTAGGTTAATGTGTTCATATAACTCCATCTCTTAGTAACTGATATATTTCAAAATATCAGATCTTAAGAAGTTATGTCACCAAACCAGGTTAGATTTCTCTGAAATCAGAGTGAGGTTCTTGGAGCTTTCATTGTGCTCTGCGTGAATCGAGTCTTCTTTGAAACTTTGGGTGGAAATGTGAAATATGAGGGGTTTTCAGGTGCTTTCCGTGCTCTGGAATTGGAAGATCATTCAGGAGGAGATGTAGTGCTTTTTTGCATGACTTCAGGCACATAACTCGGAGTTTCACCTTGAGTTTGAGTTCCCTTAAATCCGTTGTGTTTGGGAGAACTCACGGACTGGGGCAGATTGGTGACTCCCCACAGACAAAACACACAGAACTCCGGGGACAGAGTTCCCACTTCTCGTGCTCTGACAGGGGATGAATTAATCTCTGTAACCTTTCTTTTGGAATTCCTCTGGGATATTGGCTGACCCTTTGTTGAACTTCTCCCTTTTCCCCAACCTTGGGTTTCAGTAAGGGGGCAGTGTCCCAGGGCCTTTCCCAGGAGGGGAACAGCACAGCCTCACTTTGCTTTTTCCCTTGGAAATCAACTGGTTTATGGCTTTTTCACCTTATTATTTCAATTGTTCTCCATTATCCAGGGACTGATAGAGTTGGAGCTCAAAGAGAACCTGTTTTCAGAGCTGGGGAATGGGGAGAAAATACAACCACCACTTTTTTTAAGCTGTGTTGTTGTCAGGATAGTGCTTGGGTGAGGCAATACCCTGTTGGGCTGGGAGGTGAAAGCTGGTGGGTGAATCAGGATTAAAGGAATTGGTGGTGGTGAAATGGAATTTACACGATCTTCAACCACACTCCATCCTCTCTGTTGACTGACAGGGCATCAGATGGGGATGACAAAAGCACTCTGGACACAGCAGCCTTCTTCCAAGGACCTCAGTCCCTCCCAGGACACGGTGAGCATTGTTGTGGTGGTTCTGTATTATGGGCAAGCAAGGTAAGAAGTGATTTTATCACTGACTTGATGTGCAATTGGCCAGTGGTCTACAAAACAGTCAAGTTCAAATTAGAAGCTTTTGGTTGTCGAGCTCCTCACTTTGTAGAATGATGTTCTGGAAATATCCAAGTCAGGATGCCTTTGCCCAGTTTTGCTTTCCATGGCTGTGCCCCACACTGTGAATTTGTACCATTCCTCACATCATTAGAATCCTTTGTTTGTATTAGTAAATGCTTCTTACTCCTCTGAAGACATTTTATTAATTTGTAAACTATTCCCATGTATTCTGTTCCTATGGCTGAGCTATAAGTGTTATTTTGGAGATATTTCCTAAGTAATCTCTGTGTAGTTTGCCTAGAGTGAAGTTATTGACTTGTCTCAGAAAGGCCTTAAGGTTTTATAGTTAATGCTTAAGTCCCTAAAGCTTCCTCCCTGGCTGAACATTCCTTCTCCTATGAATTGCTAATTCCAATTGATCTGAGAAAAAAAAAAAGACAGAAATAGTTTGTATTTTCTCTACTTTCTGCTCTAACTGTGCACCTACCAAGGTCTCTTCTTGCTTTGATCCCATCTCTGTGATTAAATTCATTCTTCCTTTCTGTTTTCCAGCTTCTCTCTGCAAACTTCCTCTCACTCCATTTCTGCAAGAACTTTTGCTGCAAACCAGGTCCCTGAGAGGATCACTGAGGGGGAGGCCAATTTATTTCTATTTATTTATAAATGAGCTGCAGAGACTTGGCCCCTTTTTAAACATAAGAACAATTTTCGGGCCTCTTTCAGTTGTGGTTATTTCACTCAAAAGGAAAAAAAAAACCAACCCCAAGCACAGAACAATAGAGAAATATGAGGAGTTGTGGAAACCCCTCAAACTTTCTCTGTTTAGATTTTACATTCCTGGTGGTCACAGGGCCAGGTGATGCTGCCAGTTGTGTTTTCTTCTGGAGTGCCTGGCTTGGATGATCCCAAAGCACCAAGCTGAGTTCATTGCTGTGATCAAACTAGAATGATACCTCTGGTGGGTTTTTTTTGGGTTTTTTTTGGCCCTCAAGGTTTTGGAATTTGAGCCTTTGAAAAACAGGGTTACTGGACTCTAGTAAATGAAGTGTTTGGATGTCAGTGATGATTCATAAAAGCAATTAAAAAAAGGAAAGTGCTTTTCCTCTGAGCGGAATGTCTTGGTTTGAAGATGCCCTAAAAGTGTGTGCTGCTCTGTTTCCAGCACAACACTTCTTATCCTGTGGTTCTGCTGATCTAAACCAAATTTTTTTCACACAGTCACAGAACAGTCGGGGTTGGAAGGGACCTCTGGGGTCACTCAGTCCAACCCCCCTGCCCAGGCAGGGTCACCTGGAGCAGGTGACACAGGAACGTGTCCAGGTGGGGTTGGGATGTCTCCAGAGAGGGAGACTCCATGCCCTCCCTGGGCAGCTGTTCCAGTGCTCTGCCACCCTAAATTCTTCCCCATGTTGGGCTGGAACTTGTTATGTTTTCCTTTAGGGCCGTTGCTCCTCATCCTGTTGTTGGGATCCCCCAAAAAGAGTCTGGCACCATCCTCTTGGCACCCACCTTGGAGAGATTCATATGTATTTGACAGCTGAATCTTTCTTATTTGGTTTCTATTTCAATATAGTTCACATTTCTTCCTTCTTAAATTTGAGGAAAAGACTCAACTAAGGATGTAATATTTTCCATGGGAGAAATGTGGTTGTTGCAACATAAATGTTGGAGGCGACAGAGGATTGAAATTCATCAAATAGGATTTTTCTTTTTCTCCTCCCAGTGCTACTCTCTGGCATTTCTGAGCTGCCCCAAACACGAGACACCTCATTTGTACAGCTTTAAATTGATTTTCAGGGAGCAAGAGTGAACTCTGTTAAAACAGGATGAAGGTTATGGTTGTATACAAAGATCCATCAGCGTGGCCACGTTACCTAAGCAGGAAGCAGACCCCGAGCCATGCCCTACAAGCTTCCTACATGGCTTTTCAAGCCATCCCAACCAACCTGTTACCTATTAGGGATGGTTATTAGGCTGTTTTAGAGCAGGCACTTCCAGTCTTACTTCCTTCTCCAAGTGGATGCCTCGTGCTTCTCTTGAACATATTGAAGTCTGGGCTTCCCTTTGCTTTGCCCTCACATCCTGGTCATCCCTGGGATACATGCTAAGGGAAGCAAAATAGTTTACTGATTTATCATGGATCATTAGATGGAGTAACTATTCTTAAAACATCACCAGTATGGATACAATAATTAGAGATGTGCTTTTGTTAACACTGCCAGCCTCTACCCTCTTGTACAGTACCCTTGGGTACTAAATAATTACCCACTTTGTGTGGTTATCTAGCTCACTAATTACCCACAAAAATTGGGGTCAGGTGTTAACTGCTTGAAATAAGTATCCTCCAAAGGCTTGGTAAAATTGTATAAAGAAATTATGTGTTTGCTACAAAACTTTAAAAAAAAAATCAAACATTTTTGGGGGGAAGGAAGATAAGGGAAGTGGAAGGAGACAATGGATGCAGAATGTTCTGTGTGATGGCAAAATCTTGCTGTGCTGGTGAGGGAATCTAAAGGGAGTGAAAGGATGGTTGGCAGATACAGTCTCTAATCCAGTCTACTTTTCCCAAAGATTAGATCCTTCAGTACACAGGGTTGGATTCTTCCCCTATCTAGGCTGATGCCAATCAGGATTATGCTGGTATAAATAAGAAAATTTGTATCTGTGGATTCCCAGACTGACTTTGCTGCATAATCCCACCTCTTCCATCACCCAGGGACTTCTGCATTGCACCCAGTAATTTAATTATGTACTGTATATTTATTTCCATGTGTTTATTTTAGCTGTGTGCATGCAGAATTTCACTCTGAGGCTGCTGCTCATAAAATGCAGTTTGCTTTGAGCAATAATTTGATTCCTGTGCTCAGGGAGTTACCCCAGTGAGTCAAAGATTTCTAGATAGCCCCACCCTCCCCAACTTCCCGAACGCTTACACTGCAGCCACTTTCCCTTTGCCAGACCCACACAAGGTGTCTAACTAGCCAAAATCCCAAGGGGCAATCCCAGTCTCCTGCCTCCCCTGTTTCAGCCCCAGCAAACTAGGAAATAAAGCCACAGAAACCCTAAAGCCCTTGAAACACCCGGCACGTGTAGCAGAGGGATGTTTAATAGCCCGTCTTCCTAACCTGGTTTCTTGCATAGGTGCTCTCTGTCTTCGGTACAAAGGAAACAGATTCCAGTGGGAGCTGAGAAGGTGTTCCTAAAAATCCTTTGGACCCATCCCAGGGTCTTTGCATGCCCGGATACCTTTAATTCCTCGGCGTCTCTGCAGTGCACAGCGCAACAAAGAAACTGCCTTTATTTATTGCTGTATTTTGTGGTAGGTGCTTCGTAGCCAGAAGCACCTTCTGTTCCTACACAAGCACCTTTTGGAGCCTGTGTGGATTCAGGGATTAGAAATCACCAGCCTGAACGCTTGGGCAAACAGGGGGGGGTCTTAGGAAGGCCCCCAGGACGAGGTGTGTGCTCGCCCTCGGGGGTACCTGCGCCCCGCATTGTGTGGAGCATCCCTGGAAAACGCAGGGATCAGCCTCCTAAGGCACAATGCAGATTTAGTCGTCATCTTTGTCTCTCCCCCCCCCCCCGCCTCCCCGCTCTGCTCCCCGCTGATGTTAACTGTCTGTATTATTATTTATTGTTATCAGGGGATTTGGTTTGATCAATGAAGTGTATATGCGTCTGACGGACATTGGGAGAGGAAATGCTTGGAGAATGAGTAACATGTCTGCAGTGGAGGGTGTGTGTGAGGGAGAGGGAGAGCGAGCATCGCTACTAGAAACATTGACTGATGAGTTCATTTTAAAATCCAAGGGCATATAGCTGGTAAATTAGCACATATTGCAAATATAGTCTGGTGCGAGAGGCAGCAGTGCTGCCATTGAGCGGAGGGGTGGGTGTGGAGGGGAAGGGGGGGGGGGTCGAGGAGAGGAGGTTGTCAGCTCTAAAGTCATCACGGGCATGAGCCAGGCAGTCTGCCCTGCCTCACTGCAGACGTGGGGCGTGCGATTTCCACGGGCGGCTGCGGCGCGGCGGAGGGGGGGAGCGGGGGGCACCCGGGAGAGCAGCAGCGCTGGATTTTATTGTTTTAAAATCCAGAGCCAGCCGGAGGGACGCAAGGCGAAGGGCTGCAGCCCCTCCGCTTCCCCCTCTGCTTCCCCCCTCCGGCCCCCCGGCACCCCCTTAGGAAGGCGGCGTGGGGCGGGAGCGGCTGCCCGGAGGGTCCCGGGGCTGGTACCCGGCGGGGATGCGGCGGGGACGGGGATGCGCCGGCGGGTTTCTCCCGGGAGCTTAAGAGATTATTGGGGAGGGGTGACCGGGAATGGTGTGTGTGTGAGCGTGTGAGTGTGTGTGTGCGGGGCTGGCGGCGGGGGGAGCCGAGTCCTTATTCTGTTAAAGATTTAAGTAGGCATGCAAGGAATCTCTAGGATAGTTGGCAAAGGGCGAGGGTGGGGAGGGGGGGGAAGGATCCAAAAGAGTCTGTAACCAGACACTGAAGCTTTCCAGGAGTGAGAGTGTGTGAGAGAGACGGAGACAGAGCGAGAGGAAGAGAGGGGGCAGTGTGGTCTAGTACATTTTCATCTGGTCGTTGATTTGAGCCTGATGCTTGCTGTCCCTCAACAGCCTCCCTTGCCTGGATTTTTTCTTTCCCCCTCTCCTCTCCTTTCCCTTCTACTTCATCGAAGCCTAGGGGAGCCAGGAAAGATTAAATGTGCTTTCGAAAAGGCAGCCACTTCATGCAGCTATGTCTGCTCCCCCCCCCACTCCCAGCCAGCCCCCCCCTACTCCCCCTTTTTGAAATAAAAAAAAAAAACGAGAGGGGGAGACAGAAGGGGAAAAAGGACGGAGAGGGAAGAGGAGGACTATAGTTTAATGATGTCGGGACTGGCTGATGCAGAAGGAGAAAAAAAAAAAAAAAAACAAAAAACTAAAAAAAAAAAAAAAAAAAAAAAAAAAAAAAAAGAAAATATTTGAGCTCCTGGACGAGGAAGGACTTTGGTGAATGGGCTCAGACTCCTGAGGTGAGAAAAGGACGGAGTGAATGATGATGATGATGATGATGATGGTTCCGTAATGGTGCCTGTTACCGCTGCCCCCGGCCGGGCGGCGGCGGGGCCGGGGCCGGGGGGGACCTGCCTTCGGCAGCGCCGGATATTTTGCATTTTTAACCTCGGGCCCTCCGGTACGTTTCGGCTTCTTCTCCCCGCTTATGCCGCTGGGCCTAAAGCGGTTCCAGAGCTGGGTGGAGGGTGCGGATCCGTATTATTTATTTGGGCGGGGGGGTGGGGGTGGAGGGGGGGGGGGAAGAGAGGGAGGAATGGGAGGGAGGGAAGGGGAGAGAAGAGCGGAGGGAAGGAGGTGGCAAGCTGGGGACGAAATCCTGCTCTGGGTTATGGCCGGCGTAAATTTCCATTGGCTGGGGGTGCACAAGGTGCTCGGAGAGAGGAGTCGGTGCAGGATGGAGTCCCTTTGTGTGTGTGTGGTGTGTGTGTGTGTGTGTGTGTGTGCGCGGGGCTGCGGACCCTCCTCTCCCGGCGAAGCGGGTTTTTCTCCAGGTTTTCCTTTGAAGCCCCGGCCGGCGGCTGGCAGGGGAGGGCGGCCGGGGCTGCGGCGCTGCTGCCCGCGCCCTTCCTCCCTCCCTCCCTCCCTCCTCCTCCTCCTCCTCCCCGCTGACAGTCTGGGGCTCGCTCCGGCACCGGGCTGGCCCCGGCTCCCGCAGCCCCCCAGCCCCCGTCTCTTCATCATAATAATAATAACAACAGCAGCGGCGGCAGCAGCAGCGTTGGTGGGAGCGCGGAGGGCGGCAGGCGAGAGAGAGGAGAGAGCTGCGGAGGAATTTGGTTCCTTTTCCTTCCCCCCCCCCCAACCTCCCACCCCGCCACCCGCTTTTTTTTTTTTTATGAGTGCCCCCTATTTGATTCTGATCCCCCCTATATTTTTTTTTTCCCCAATAAAAAAAAAAAAAAAAAAAAAAAAAAAAGAAAGAGAGAGAGAGAGATGTTTTAAAACTGCCAGCGGCTCGCCCAGCTGCGCACAGCCGCCCTCCCTCGCTCCCTCCCCCGGCCGCGCACACACCGCACGCTCCGCACCCGCTCGGGTGTCAAACCCCGCCGGGCACCGACCCCGGTGCGGGCACTGCCCCATTCCCCCCCCCCCCGCACCGCCCCGCACCGCCGGGCCGGGTCCCCCCTTTTGCTCTTCGGCGCTGGAGATCGGAGCCTCTCCCCCAGCTTCCAAATGGTGAGTTTTTCTACCTGATTTTTTTTTTTTGTGTGGCGACTCGGGTTCC